AGGGTAGAGGTTGAAGACCGCGACGCGCGTAGATAGAGGAAAATGGACACCGCCATCTTATAGAGCGGGAAAAATATAGAAGGGAGAGCGTATAGTTTGAAGATGCACCGGCCTTATATAGTCACCGCTAAATGACGAAAATATATAACGCGCGCGGCCGCCTTTCAAATTCAAAGTCGATGAGCTTGTTTACCTTGCGAGGAAAAACACGACACTGACCCACGAACGCATTTTTGCGTTCGCGAACTAGTCCGTGTATCATTACGCGCTTGTCAAAACGATATTTGGCTAATTATCTGTGTCTGCTGGTACGCATTTATACCTTTAAAGTCTTTTAGTAATGTTATTATACTTCAATTGCATATTTTTATATATCTATACCCTCATATCGAATCCTGCGCATCGAGTGTTTCACACTTTCTTGCGCCAGCCACAGGTTGACAGCTCACCAACCCGCTCATTTCGAGATTGAAAGCCGGTGAGAAATGTTGCGTTTCCAGTGTTGTGTTGATTCTGGGTTCTTTTTTAAGACCTTTACAGTGGCATCGAAGAATAATTCGACTTCAGTAACCATCCCAGTTTTATATCTGAGCCCATCAAGAGCTCCAAAGGACGAAAAAGGTGATTAAAATCGAAGCAATCCCAACAGTACAAAGAAACGAAAGTTTCACGTTTCCGGATATAAAGGTATTTGGTTTATTATTTTACGGTGTGAATGCAGCTCTGTCTTGCCGTACATACCGTGGTGGAGAGAATGTGTCCTGGGGGGTGTTGGGGGGCTTGCCCCCCATCAACCCTCCCTCGGGCAGTGCCCGAAGGGCACGCCTAGTCACGGCAATTTATATTGATATATTAGGTTGGTTGGTTTATTGGTCAATACGTTTTTGGGGGTTGGAACGTGTGAATTCCCGTAGATTTTTTGCCGAAATGTGGGTTGGGTTCCCGTAGAGTTTTTGATTTATTTCGCGTCAGTCCGTAAACTTTCAAAGATGGCGGTTACATCCGTAGAGTTTCATTGGCCGATTTTAAGCGCTTTTTGTGCTAGTTTTATGCATTTTTGATCGTTATTCTTCTTATTTAAGCTTGTTTTACCCCATAATTTCCCTGATATACTTCATGCCCTCCCCTGCTAACGGGACTATCAAATCAAGATCGTCGATGGAGAAATGGTACTCGATCTCCTGAACGATTAATCGCAAAAGAAACAACGCCGAAAATCGATGAAATCATAGGATTTCATGCAGAAAAACATCATTTTTTTCGACTTAGTCTCTGCGAGGGTGCGTCGCGGTCTTCAACAATTACCGCTAGTAAGTCTATAAAGTTGTATAAAGATATTGTCTCAAAGAATTTTTTCATACACCATGGTTGATGGTTATGGTTAAATCTGTATATGTATGTAGGGCCTAAGTATGGTGTAATATCTTATACATTTCAAGATCACATGCAGGCCTGTCTGTAAAGAATTTGAGGGCCAACTTAAATTTCATGATTTCTTTTGTAGCCTTGGACACTTGCACAGATTTAAGAATACTTATATGTATTACTTTAGCTTTGGCCTGCTAAAAAAAAAACTGAATGATTATCTCATTATGAAATCTTTGCCTCATTTGACTCTATGACCTCACTAAGGTCATTTATGTAGCATGAATTCCCCAGTATCTCTTGATTATCGAGAAGAATATAAAATAGAGAGAAAAGAAAACTAAATAAGATACAGGATGTCAACCATCAGCCAACTCTGGTTCATCTTATTACATGGTCACATGATTTTTTTATATGCATAACTTTTCATTGTTGATTTTAGACCTCACTTTCTGTGTCGTGTTACACGTACTCTAAAGTTTTTGGTGTTAGTGAATAGCCTGAATCTTCTGTGTCTTGTCTTAAATAAGTGGTATAAACCAGGATTACTTGAGCAACATTCAAGAGATCAGCCACAGTCAGAATGTATTGAATGATTGGTGATGCCTATAAAGACTGACAACTTATATCTTACATGGAACTATTTTTTTTTAACTTGTATTTCACAACTCTTCAGCGTTAGAATATGAAGAAGAATCTTGTGTACATTGGCTGAACCAACATTTCTGTCCACTTTGTATGTCACTTCAAGTTATGTTTGAAATAGATCCAGGATCAAAATTATTCATTGTCATTTCAATGATAAGTGATCAGTAATGTCTTGATATATGTATATAAAAAAAAACATATTTGAAGTACTGCTGCTAAGAGGCTAAAGGAATGAGGGTTCTGTGATTACTTGGTCATGTTTGAGGCTGTGGTTAAATCGTGTAAGTATCTGCTACGTCAGGCACATGCATTTTTATTTTACGAAATATATGTATGTATAGGCATATATTAACAGCATTTCCTTCTTGAAATTATTGTTCATTCCGTTTTTGAACTGAAGTAGGAAAGACATTGGGTATCAACATAGTGTGTTATTGCAGGTGAATATTGTAGGATTGAAAAATATGACAAGCAATATTGGGTTTAAATTTTTGGTTATATCTAGTAGCAAAAGGGTGACAAGGAGGAGGGTATGGTAACAATGTGACTGCAAGCTAAAGAATAGTATGACAGATAACTAGGATAACAGACAACAAAATGGATATGATTGCATTGGGTAACACAAACTGTTGCAAATGCTATATCAATATATGTTATCAGTTGAGTATTGTTTTACTGAATATGTCTGCACATAGATAACTCTTCCGTGCTTAGCCACAAAGGAGTCAATTAGTAGGCCTTGTGACCTCACCTGATTTCACCTTTTCTTGAGTTTGTGGGGAAAACATTTTTTTTTTTTTACAAATGCTGTCAATATTGATACTATTGTTTATACTAAGCATCATAATTCCATAGTGTTATTGACATTACTAATAGCAATACCAAATACCAGAAAATATCGAAAATCAAGGAAAAGAGTAAACAGGTGAGACAGGTAGTTCTCATAATTGGCTCATTGGTAAATTAGTACTTGTCTTGTGGAGCCAGCAGTATGCAAAAACAATTACTAAATTAAACACAGAGTGGGCATGGCATATATGCACATGACATCCCCAGCAGCATGTGGTTAATGGTATACTAAAGCCATTTTCCAAATAATCAAATTAGGAGTTGACTTTAATTATGTCTTGCTCCCATGAGAGAAGATGTTTAGGAAAACATATTGTGGAATATGGTAGTAGAATGTACCTGTTGTTTTGTGTTGAATTGAATTATAGAAGATAAAGAGATAGAGAGAAGGTATCAGACATTATAAGGGTGATATTATTAAAAACATGTTCACAGATGCATCAAGGCAAGAAAGTATATATTGTATATATACCCTTCTCAATAAAAGTTCCCTATAGTACAAAACCTATCAAGGTAGATTATAAATTGATTAGGAAGGTTATGGTAGCTATAGAATTTCATAGTTTGGATACAGTTCCTCAAAAGAGATATTTGTTCCTTATTTTTCTACTGTACATAGCTTCTTTTCAAATGACAAATTCTTAAAGAAGGAAACATTTTGCAAGACTGTTATACTTTTTTGTTGTTGATATTAATGACTAAAATATAGAGACAAGACATGTACGCATTATTTTACTCAAGGTAACATGCCAGCTATGTTTATTCATGAAGGTGAATATAAGATCTGGGATGTCTGCATATTGCATGTATTCTGTTTGAGGTTATATACTTAGATAACATCAGTTGCACAAGAGGTATATTGCAAAGATGATGTCTGTAGATCAGTGCTGTTTTTATGAATAGGACTTTCATATCTGATTATTTTATTTTCATTTTGCAGTATGTCTTCGTAATTATTTGGTTCATTCTGTTATTATTATCATTATTTCTTTTAAGTTCTTATTGCTTTATTATTATTATTATTTCTGTATTTCTCTTCTATTTCTTTTTCCCCCTTTTACTTCTCTTCATCTTTCTTTCTCTCGTTTATCGTTTTTTCCTTCTCCAAAAGAAAGGAAAGGAGAGGTAGAAGTAAAAGTGCTAAATGTATTGCATTGTATATTATTATATATTTTGTCAAGCTCTTCATAAAATTTCTTGTGTTAAAAAGCTCTAAGAAACATATGTCAGGGTTATAGTACATCCAGTAATATACTGGTCCATCGATAACTATAATTTTAGTGGAGTTTCATTGAATGGAATAATCATTCATCAGTTGATTGGGTACTTTGAGTGTAAATTGTCAAGTATTTAACCTATTAGCTGGCATTGCAAGTTTTATTCCATAATTTATTGATCGTTATAATTTCAGATATGTTGTATTGTGTCTTAGTTTTAATGGAAGTGCTTGTACTGTGTTTTGATACAAGTCTGAATGCATTCTTAGCAGTCAGAGTGTTAATCTCTTTATTTGTTGTCTTTCAGATCAGCAACATGAGTCTGTACCCGTCATTAGAGGATATGAAGGTGGACCAAATGGGCAGAGTAAGTTTTGAAATTCAAAAAGTGAGCAGAATGAAAGAAAAAATGGAATAGATAATATACTTTTGTAGATGTCTTGAAAGAAAAAATAGATGGGCAACTTACTTTGGTGTGGATGTCTTGAGATGATGGGAGAATGATGGTTTTAACAAGAGATATGATGCTTATAGGTAGATTGATATAAATGTATAAATGGTTGAATGATGTCTCTTCCAGGCACAGGCCCAGATGGTGAGCGAAATGATGTCAGCACAGGCGGGAAATAATCCGACAGCGCCACCTGCCATCTCCTCTGGATATGCTGCACCTCCCTACCCGCTGCACCCACAAGAAGCTGCGAAGGTATGGTGTTAGTCTCTCTTGATTTTTACCATCTCTCATATTAAGACGCACATCGGAATAATCAATTGAGAGCTCGACATTCATGTTGTGCCTGTCAGCCAATCACTGTTAGGCTGTCTCATGCAGCTGCCAATGGTGATTGGCTGACAGGTACAAGATGCTGGTCTGGCTCTCTGTTTAAGGTGTCCGAAGTGTCTTGGAATATGAGCGTATGTCTAACGGGCAACTCTTGATGAGCTTTATTCCATTTCTCTTGTGGGAAGATTCCATTTTGTAAATATGATTCTATTTGTGAGAGTTTTTAGCTTATGACGATTTTTTTCTTTTTTCTTTTGTATATTGCACCAAAATTTTATATTAGAAGGATATACATATAAAGAAATGAAGGACAACCTCAGTAAGTTCAAATTAGCTATTGATGAAAAAATTTGTATCACATTTTATGTTATATAAATGAATATATGTTATATTTTGCCTTGCTCTGTTCTTCTTGATCACGAGTTGACCTTTGGCAAATCTGACGGTGTTTAACGCTGTAAGTCCTACGATGGACAATTCTTTATGCTGAGTACTGTCATATGAAGACCAAGGACTGAATAATTGTGCATAAGCCACTAAATACTGGTGGGAAAGTCAAGAGGGGTTCTTTTGATTCTAAATGGTTGTTTAGAGTATGGCCTTGCTCTCCGGTTGGCATTGGCTGAGTTTTTCCCCTCCTCCTCTCCTGTATGATTGGTAGAAAGACTCCTTCTTATGTGTCTTCTATTCCCTGATTTTCCTTGCTATCATTTATGCTCGCATAGTTCATGACAACGTGATTAGTATGAGTTTGTATTTAAGGGTAGAGGTACCATGGGGTAGGTGGGTATTATACGGCCTTCCCTCCCCCCTCCCCATTTTTGAGGAATGGATTTTCTCCTTATGGCTGTATACATTGCATAATTTGGTCTCATTCTGATAAAGAAATAAATGCACGCATGTAAAATTATTTGAATTTCTAATACTTTTTTTTGTTCCTTTAAACATTATATTTTATTATGATAAGGGTAACAGGAATCAAGTTCTTCAAGTCTTATCATACAATCATATTTTTTATTTTTAAACTTAAAGCTAAGAGTTACGCAGTTAGCAAACTATCAGATGTGGCCAATTTTGTTGTATGTTCTTTTGTATTTTTGCATTGGTATTGGAACAAAGAGCATGTCTAAGTATTTAGGCTATTTATTTAATTGTTTGATTTGTCTCCTTTGATATATGATTTTCAATATTGTTGATTATTGATAAGGATTATTTGATCCTTTTTATTTGTTTATTTATTTGTGTGTCAGTGTATTTATGTTTTTATTTTTCTTGCAGTCACAGAATACCTTGGCCCATCTGTACCCTTCCCTGGGAGATTACATGGGCCTAGAATTCACCGATGAGGTCATTGCCGCAAACATGCCAGAGTATTTGGCCGTCTCGCAAGTGCAGCCTGTAAGTATTTCATGATACTTTTCTCTACTGTTTAGGAATATCAGTAGTAGTGGTATATTTTTTTATTAGTCTTTTTGGGAATAGAAGCATTTTTTTTTTTTTTTTTTTTTTTTTTTTTTTCATAGTAATGGTAGGTTATAGATGATAGTAACAGTGGTATTTATAGTAATCTTTAATGATAATGCTGCCAAATATGATCAACTTGAGAGTCTGGCAGTTTCCATGATCCTGCGCCTCTTGAGAGAAAGTTCTGGGACCAAAGTTTGGTAGTGGGCTCAAGGAGGAGTGTTTTTCTCGTCAAGCAGCGAGGCTTATTGATTTAGTTTTCTCTAGGTCGGACCCTGAAGTCTGGGATCGAGTTTAGTGTGTCTCTGAAATCCTGTGCGAGTGTGGAGGTGAGGGATATTTGGGCAAGGCAGTGGGTATGCTTGGTGATGATAGATTTTTGTGAGCAAATAATGGTTTATGTTGTCGAGGGATTGGCATTGGTGGTGAGAGTGATTGGATGTGTGTTGAGGGATTGTTGGTTGTGGTGAGAATGACTTGTTTTTACAAGGTATGTGTCTAGTTTTCATGCTGAGTTTAGGGTTTAGGTAAGTGGTTTGTGTATGCAGAATGTGTATGTATTGGAGATGTGCAATACATGCTGTTGCTTTCTGGCTTTTAGTGTCTGTATGTGTATGTTGACCATAGGGTTTAAGATTTTCAAGGTTTTAGGTGGTGAGTTAAGGATGTATACGGAAACATGCATTTGCAGACAGCATACTTATGCACTCACAAACACACATTCACATAGATTCTTCTAAGTATATACACTCATTTACTTACATATTTCATGCACACACTCATTTACTTACATATTTCATGCCACACTCATTTACTTACACATTCCATTCACTCACTAACTCATTCACTCTCCTTTTCTAATTTCAGGGGACTGTGGCTGTGGCCCCAGCCTCAGGACCAGTCTCAGTGGTGCCCTCAGGCATGGTGGCTCCAATCTCTGGTGCGTCACCTGGACTTTACCGAGCTCAGGTTACTAATTCCATCCGAGAGGTAGGTCTTGTTTTTATTTCATTGCCCTTCTACATCTTTATTGTTGTTATATTTTTGGTCTTGATTTTGATTTTTTGCTTTGTATTATGGTATTATTTTTTAATTATTTTCTTTTTCTTTTTCCTTATAAATCACAGTAATTCCTCATAATGTACAAAGTCTTTTCATTTAGTACAATCCTGTTCCAAGAAAGAGAAATTAGATATTTTTTTCATTGTCTTTTTTCTTCTCTGGAGTGGGAAGTCCCTTTGTAGAAATTTTTTCCCTTATTGTTCTGCTCATTCAGAAAGTTTTTTCCATGATTTTGATAATTTTTTTAAAAACAAACTGTCATCCTTTCCTTCAGTTTTCCCAAGCACGTCTTATTTCAAAGAATTTCTCCGCAGATCACCTCTGTAAGGACAGCGACGGTAAGGTAGGCATGCGTGTCAAGGCGATCAACAAGGGGGTGTTCGTGTGCCTGGTGAAGAAGAACTCGCCAGCAGCTCTTGCAGGTGAGTGTAGTGCGAGAGTTGGCTCTCTGGTTAGCTGTATTTATTCTTGCTGTCTTCAATGCATTGGTCTATGGCTAGCATACTGTTCATTGTATTTTTTGGGAAATTTTGTTGCACACAGATGGCTCTGCAAGTTTTCAGTTACCAAGGAGATGATTATAATTCCCCAGTAAATGTGCCTGCTTTCCCACTTCTTGAATCTGCTGGATTTTTTTTCCAATGCTAGTAATATTGATACTGGTTTTGTTATTGATCTAAAAAAGAAAAGATCTTGCCAAAAATCAACAAAAATCAAGGGAAAAGGAAAACAGGTGATATAGATGTGACTGATAACTAACTTCTTGTTTACGAAGTGCTTAGGGAGCCCTTTCACTGTAAACAAAATCAATAAACTATAATTAGTGTTGACATGGCATATCATTACATTTAGATGTATAGTTGTAGGTTCATTGTGATGGAGAGAGGGATGACTTTAGTTAGATTCCTGACTGGGATTATAGTTTACTTGAAATTATTTTTATTGTATTACTTACTCTATTATTGTCATGATTTTTTATTATTGGTGATTCTGTTACTATTACTATTGCACTGATACCATGTTTTGATGGATTCGTCTTCTAAATTATAATATATCTCAAGCTTACATGCATAACTATTGAAGTCCAGGCCTGCTTTGATCAGTATGAATGATGCAGTTTGTCAGACACACAAGATGTTTATGTGTCATTTTATATTACATACATAAGTTGTTTATGAACATTTTAGTATTTACTTGGTGAATAATGCCTCCAGAGCCTCTGCAATTGGCTGTGAAATGCTCACCCAAGACCCAAGTTATCTGTATTGTAAACACTTGTGAAGTTTTTAAATGTTCCACCAAATCAAGACAGGTTTAGAATGACGGATTTTTGTTGAAAGGTTGCATATTTAGTAACAGATTTTAGGAAAATCCCAAATACATGGAAATCAGCAAGGTGATAGCAAATAACACAGACATCACATAGGTGGTAGGAGCCACAGGAAATATATGATAGCTTAGAGAACAGTACCCCTTTTGATATGGTGCTGCCACTGCCAGCATCATGGTGGTAAATTGGATTTTCCCATGTTCTTTTAGTGTTCTTTGTGCCAGATCAGTATTATTGTTTTTGAGAGTTTACTTCTCCAGGAAACCTCTAATGAAAATCTCAAATCTGTTTTCTCTTTATGGGTTGTCAGACAATCAATTTTCCTCTGAATCGATCCTGAGATCTTTTTATTTTTGTTTAGAAACTGAGTCGGTATTCATTAAAGATTTGTGACTGTTTGTTGCAATATATTCTTGTGATTTGAACGATTACCATGTATCAAAGTTATTGCAGCTAAGTAAAACAAATATTTATAGTGTTAAAGACCCACTAATGATAATCTATTCTAATCATATGATAACATAAATATTGCAATCTTAGTATATTATATGTCATATTGTAATTAATGCATACTAAATTTGTATATCTAAATGTGATATGGCATCCCTTCATTTGATGTCATTGATGTAATTGTAAAGTCAGGCAGCTTAATTTGTATTTTTTGATAGAAAATAACAGTAAAAATGTAGGGACCCAACTCGGTTATCAATTTGGCAGTAAATCAAAATGTCCCTGTAAGTTTTCCTTGTTAGTATAAATTGTATGAAAGGTTAAATGAACATTTACCAATAAATCAAGGGAGGCTTCCAAATTTTCCTTATTATTTCAAATGCAGAATTATCTTTTTTTGTTTGCTTGTAAATCTGTGTTGTAGTTTAATGACCATCTTTACACACATGGGACACTCCCATATTTTAGCCAAGTCATAGACAAAAACTGGCTATCTATGACATTTCTGCTGAGACAAATAAGATATCCACACATCACCAATGTCAAGTAAACTCCGAAGATACATTCTGATTTATTAATAACAGTTAATTGATCCCTTACCAAAATATTTACATCAATTTTCTCTTCAAAAATACTAATGGTGCCATGCCCCTTCACAGCTGATGCATTGACAATAGATATGAGGTTGTCTGGTTTAAATTTTGATATATGGAATGTGAGATATTATTGTCAAACTGTATGTAAGATTTATTGCAGTATAGTTTTATTATATTGCTGCAATCAGTTATCATCATAAAATTCTTAAACAATGTAAATGTCAGTTCTAATTATAACATTAATTTTGAAGTGCAGTATCTGCAGATCATAGACCAAATTGCAAAGAACTCTCATAGACATTTTGTGAATATCTACTGAAACTTACTTAGTTTCAGTAGACTTGTATATTGACACTGGGTGGCTTCATTGTCCAGTTAGAACAAAACAGAACAAAACTAGATTATTTTTTTCTCTTGAGGGAAGAACCTATAAATATTTGTAAACGTGTCATTCGTGAAATGACCGTAATTATATAATCAAAAGTAGATTCTAGACATCACAGGTGATATTTACCCATAGTTACAATTTTGCTTGTGTCAAAGTGCACAGTAAAAGGATTGACTAGATGTACTTCAAAATACTCTGCAAATTTTTCATTACCTTTTTATATGCAAGGAAACAAATTTTCACATTTAAATTTGATCTGTGTACAGGACTGCGTTTCGGAGACCAGATCTTGCAGATCAACAGCGAAAATGTGGCTGGGTATTCCATGGAAAAAGTACATGACATGCTGAAGAAGAGTCCTACAAATGGTATTTCCCTCGCCATTAGAGACAGGTTGGTGTCCTTTTTTTATTTATTATTTTTTTTATTCTTGTTTTTCATGTTTTCTTCATTTTTAAAAGTCTTTGGGAGGGACATCAAGGAAAACAGTAATTTGTGTCATTCACTGTCATGATATATATATGTGTGTGTGTAATATGTAATATTTATTTACTTATTTTCTCCCTCTCTCCCCCCCTCCTAGGCCATTCGAGAGAACTGTGACCTTACACAAGGACAGCACAGGTCACATTGGGTTCCAGTTCCGTGATGGAGAGATCACTGCCCTCGTCAAGGATTCCTCAGCCGCGCGAAATGGGCTTCTCACAGACCACCATCTGCTGGAGGTAAGGTTTGGCTTGGTGATGAAAGTGTTCCTATTCTCACCATTGTACTTGTTTGTTTATATATGTATATATTTTTTCTGTATGTATATTGTTTGTTTGTTCTTGGATTTTTCTCTCTCTTTCACCTTATATCTTTTAATCTCTCATTTTCTTTTTGATTCATTCATTATTTCATTCTCTCACAAATCAAATCAAATCTCCCTTATTCTCTGTCTCTTTCTCATATATTTCTGTCTTCTGTCTGTCTGTCTGTCTGTCTGTCTGTCTGTCTGTCTGTCTGTCTGTCTGTCTGTCTGTCTGTCTGTCTGTCTGTCTGTCTGTCTGTCTGTCTGTCTGTCTGTCTGTCCTCTCTCTCTCTCTCTCTCTTCTCTCGTCTCTCTCTCTCTCTCTCTCTCTCTTCTCTCTCTCTCTCTCTCTCTCTCTCTCTCTCTCTCTCTCTCTCTCTCTCTCTCTCTCTCTCTCTCTCTCTCTCTCTCTCTCTCTCTCTTCTCTCTCTCTCTCTCTCTGTAAATTTAATTAGTATATGTTTTTTTCTGAATGCTTAAAAGTGCACATAGCATTCATGACAATCCCAATTCGGTGCTTTACAGGTGAATGGGCAGAATGTAGTGGGGCTGAAGGACAAGGAAGGTCTCTGCCATAATCAACGAGTGCGGGCAGGTGGTCACAGTGACGATCATGCCGTCCTTCGTCTACAAGCACATGATGAAGCACATGCCTCATCGCTGAAGAATTCATGGACCACTCCATTCCCGACCTGTAAAAAGGGTGGGGAGCACAGACATATGGGAGTAAGAAAGGAAAAAACGAAGAGAGGAAGGAGGGGCAGTAAAAAGGACAGGATTTGTTTTACAATTAGGAGGGGTTTTCTGCAACACAAGGATGACAGCAGAGTTGAAGAAAGATGGGGTCATTTATGCAGGAAGTACCAGTCCACAATAGTTGTATGTGGGACCCTTGTGTATGGCTATTTTTATATGTGAAAGAAGTGGTCCCTATTTATTTCGTTGTCATTTTTGTTTCTCTCTCTCATTTTCCCCACTTTCTCACTGTGTATGTATGCAATCTTTCCATGGAAAGATAAATTTAACTTAAGTTGATTATTACATTTTGATTATCGTTCTTATAAAGGTATTCTTTTCATGGTATGTTAAAATATGTCCAGTGTGAAGTGGATACATTAGAATAAGAGTTACATAAAAGATTAGGGTAGCTTGTTTGTTGAGTGTAGAGAGATCAACAAAATCCAGGTGCCAATTGAGTACTGAATATATTACTCATATAATATGTAGTTGAATGACTATATAGGAGGAGGGAGTGAACTAACAAATGGATGTTAGGACCCTTTCCAAATGTTCAACTTGCTAGCATGAGTTCCTAAGTCTTAGAGAGATTTACATCTAAATTTATATAGCATGTATTGAGTTCTGGATAAGTCAGCATCATTCAATTTGACAAGTGCCGTTTTGCTTCAAGAAAAAAAATAATTGCCTGGTAGTTTTAAAAGTAATGGTGCATTATTTCACTCAGTGAAGCCAATTGCCCCCTGTAAAAGAGAAGTTATATGGGAATTAATTGCATTTAGCATTTATTTGTACCACATGAACAGGGTAGACTACAAACTAATGATGTTATAAGCGAATTCACAAGATTTAATTGTAATTATCCCATGATAGAAGGAATGAAGATTGCAAAGATGCATATATGAAAGCACAAAGTGAGTTTTTTTCACTGTAAAGGTAGTACCATATTCAGTTATATTTAATTCTCTGAATGTCATGTTTCTTATGGTATCATTAATATGGATGATTAGTGATATTATGTACCATGTACACCTAATCATTAGTCATGATTTAGTCATTGGTTTTGTATATTATATCCAAATACCTTTTCTAATGGTTCATTCATTGTACCTTATAGTCAATAGCTAGGTGTATTTTATATATTATGGACAAATATTTCGCTGTTGTATCCTTCCAAATGTTAGAAACCACATAATGCATTGTTCCAACTACTGATATTATTAATGTATGTTAAAATGTTTGGATGTTTACTTACTCAGTTACATCTCACTCCCACGTACACGAACCATCAAGTACACAAAGAAAGCTTTTATGTTTTAATGATCATAAGTTAAAGTAGATAGATATGTTCTTTAGAATGAAAAAAGCATAGAATCATACATTAGTAAACACTACACATAAACAGGATAAATACACGAAACTTAAAAAACCAGTCCATGAACCACTATTTAACACTGAAAGGTTATTCATAAGCATAAAGCAACAGCACACATGTTCCGTTGCATCTAGTATAATGGTTTTAAGTCTGAATTACCTATAAACTGTAAGCAGGTAAACGTCATAAAGAAGAATGTTTTATGTTGAAGGGCATTAAAGAGTTACAAAAGAAATCAAATGTCATAAATTTTTAGTGGAATTGTGTGTGCAGAGGCAGTACCACAGGGTCCATATGTGTTTGATTATACCTCACATTGGTCGACTTTGTGAGGTTTGTGATAAAAATGAGATAAAAAAAAAATGATTATATCCATTATCTTTATTAAAAGGAAGCTTTGATGTCATCATCCCACTTTTATTTCAACCCTTTTTTTTGCTAATGTTTTATTTGGTATTGTCACTTGATTATGTGTTTGTTCGCCACGATGACTTGACAGCCTACACAACGGGAGGCCATCTGCACTTGTCCATGCGGATATGTATCCCTCTGGCATGGCTGGAACTCCAGAGGAGAGAGAGGGTGAGGGAGGGAGAAAGAAAAAGGAGAGAGGGGGAGGTAGGGAGGTAGAGAAAGAAAGGAGGGAGGACAGAAGGGAGGTAGAGAAAGAAAACGAGAGGGGAGGGAGGCAGAGATAGAAGAGAGGCAGTTCGAGGTTGCAAAATATCACTCCTTAAGACACAAAACACAACATTTGCTAGCTCTGGTATACAACTGTGGGAGAAGAAAAGAATTATCGAAGACAAGGCGGAATGGACTGGATATTCTCGCTATGGAATGGCACAAACCAAGGAATGTATATACTAGGGAGAGATCTAAAATCACCTCAGAGGCTTAATGTACCACAAGCACATTGAGGCTGAAACTGTCCAAGAACAGAATCTGGTACAAACACGAGCGAAATGATAATCAAACTGAGCTAATTACCTGAATAAATCTTTTAGAACAAAAACAAATGGTTAATGGTTAAAAAAACAAAATAAATGTGCCAGACATCTTAGGTCATAAAGCACTATAGGAAAGTATATTAGAGGAGGGATGAAGGGTGATAGTTGCTATGCTTCATCTATCTAGAGTAATCTTGAAAAGTTAAAGATGGGTAAAGGAGTTGATGTGTGAATGGGCTATGGTGGTCTAGGTAAGGGAATTGCATAAGGAATTCACGTGTGTATCCAGGAGGGAGTGGGAATGATAGAGGGGAGAGGGGGCGGGTGAATGTACGTGTAGTACGAGTTGAGGGGGGTGGGTTGTGAGTAGGAGGAAGTAGTGTAGGGGGAATATGAGTAAGAGGACGGATATCGGCAGTAGTTGGAGTTGAGGGGGATGGGTTGTGTTGGAAGGGAGTAAGAGAGAGGGGTGTAGGGGGAATGTGAGTAGGAGGATTGATATCGGTAATAGACGGAGTTGAGGAGGGTAGGTTATGCTGGGAGGGAGTAGGAGGAAGGGGAGTAGGGGAAGTATGAGTAGGAGGAGGATGGATATCGGCAGTCACTTCGAGCGTGAGTTGTGAAATTGTGTGTCTCGAGCATATAGCATTGAATATCTTCCATAGTTTCTGCAGTGGAGTTGGTTGGAGAGTTTTGTGAGACAAAAGTTTTCTTGTGAGGAGGGGAACAGGAGACTGGTGTCTGAGGAATAAAGGGAAAGGTAGGTGGAGGCGTGTGTGGTAGAAGGGGTGGAACGGTTAGTCTGTCTGCTGCGGGTAGTGCGGGGAGGGAGAGGGGACGGTATTGGGGCTGTAGTTGAGAGTGGAGTGTCTGGAAAGAATTTGACAAGGGATGATAGGAGGTAGAAGTAGAGGTGGGGAAATAAGTAGGTATAGGGGAGGGTTTAGGAACATCTTGGGATGGAGGGGAGCAACATTACTAGAGTAGGGAGTATGAGAGAAAGCTTGCCGGGGTGCTTCCTGTCTGGCTTCAGGCAGAGTGACATTTTTTGTATCTGAGAGTTGATACCTCAGACTCGTAAGTGCCTCTATAAAATACATTATGGGGGCTGCCGCAGTTAGCACATGTGCGTGTTTGTGCAGTTTGATCGGTTATGACCGGGTTGGGCACATAGGGGGTATCGGTCTGTGGAACGGCAGTGTTTGGCAGGATGTCCAAAGCGCCAACAGTTATGACACTGACGGGGAGGAGGTGGGTATGGTCGAACAGGGAGGCATTGTTCACCAATGTAGATACGAAAGGGAAGGTCATGAGTACGGAAATTAAGTTTGGCGATGTTGGTGGGTTTATCTCGATGACCTTTAGGAGGAATGGAGTAGCAATGTACTAATATTACATCAAAGTCTTTGAGGCAGTCGAGCAAGTATTCTCTACAATCTGACCAATCGATATCCACAGGCCAGCTTATTGGGGAGATTGACACAGTTCCGGTACAAGTATTAAGAGTTGGACGAGGTTCTGCAGGAATGGGGTTGCCAGAGAGATCATTTAGATTTGATAGTGCTATAGCTTGAATTTCAGATGTGACGGGAACGATCTGGTTGAGTACGGAGAGGGACTCTGCCCACTTGCTTTTGGAGACATTGTTGAAAGAGAAGTGTTGCCTGAGTAAGGAGCTGTAGAGGGGATCACGAAAAATCGGTCCCATTTAGCTGGGCAGAAATAGAGTATTCAAGATATTTGTAGAGTTGGTGGTGGTAGACGGACGGGGACGTGTGGAAGAAGTACTGTTTAGGGATGTAGTATTACGGAGAGATAGGCTGTATGGTAGTAATAGGGGAGTTTGGGGTGCTTGATGAAGAAGGCTGTGGGGGTAGAGGTGATGAAGTTGAGGAAGGGAAGTTAGAGTCTCGACTTGGGTGGATATTGCACTAGTAGGCATTGAGGAGTGGATAGTAGTTGTAGTGTTCAGAGTCGTACTCCAAGGAGAGCCTGAGGTCGGGGAGCCGGGAGAGTTTGAATTGATGAGGCTATTTGATGAAGGGGCAAGCCTCATTCTTTCTAATATGGCTATTACATCTTCATTACCCCTTGAGGGGTAAGGGCTAAACAATCAAAGCAGGGGAATACCGTGCCTATGGTTCTCTCAGGCCGTTCAGGACTGGCACAAAGTCAGCCTTTTATCCTTTCAGCACGGCTCCTACACCTTAGGAAGTAGATAGTAGAAGGGGTTGGAGAAGGGACGGAAACGAAAGAGCTGGAGTCGAGGGCTGAGGACCTAGGCAGGGGAGATCCCTGCATTGGGTTTCAGTCTCCGTCTCCTAAGTCCCCCCCCCCCCACGACAACAACGGGCAAGGGATTAGGGGGAATTAAAACAACAATAAAAATCCCAGCGACCAGGACAAAACTTGGATTGATAAGAATAATGCAGACATATGGTAATACTGACTAATATAAAGAACAATAAAATTTAACAGGACCTTTGATACCTGGTACGTGTATTACATGTATTTCTTTAAAACATTAAACATTAACTTGGCAAGCAAAAATCCTTATAATGCATGGTTTTAAACTGATTAAAACAGAACGAGAAACGTCCTACACGTACCGAGCCCTGAGGGAATATATTCACATTAAAAAGTTTCGCCAGTA